CTCCCCAATCCTTGACATTATACAAACCCTTGACCTATGCCTCTGAAATTCTCCCCCATAAAGACTGACCATGTAACCCTAATTCCAAGTATGTGATTGGCTACTGTCGCCCAGGCTCCCCTCCACACCCTCTCTTCCTCCTGTTTTTGCACAGCCACCAGAGTGATCTCCCTAAGTCATAAGTCTGCCTGTGTTCCCTCCTGCTTAAAATCTCCCAAGTGCTCCCGTCACTCAATTGATAAAAGTCCAAACCACCTGGCAGGTCCTCGATGCCTTTCATGATCTGGCCCTTGCCTGGCCCTGACATGACACTATTCCTCAAGAAGGCCAACTGGTCACTCGGTGGAAAGTCAGTTATATTGGGTGCCTCCTGTGGTGTAAGGGACACTGGGTCTTCCTCAAAGGAAGGCAGGGGTTTCCCTTTCCTGCCCACAAAGGTTCAGATAGCACCACTATCTGGGGGCTTGTGGAATGCCTGATCCACAGGCGTGAAATCCCTACAGAACACAGCATCTGACCAGGGGATCCCTTCATAGTGTAAGAGGTGTGGACGTGGGCCCGAGACCACTGGATCCACTGGCCATTTCACACCCCACACCATCGGAAAGCAGCCAACCTCACAGAATGCTGCAATGTCCTACGGAAAGCACAGCCGAAGCACCACCTAGGAGACAATATTTGGCAAAAATGGGTTGCCACCCTTCGGGATACCGTTATGTACACTAAATCAGAGACCTACCATGTGGCTTTGTGCCCCCAAAAGGAAGAACACATGAGTCCAGGAACTAAGAGGTGGAAGCAGGAGTGGTCCCACTTACTATCACTCCCATTGACCCAAGGGGGACTTTTTGCTTCCCATCCCCACATCTCTGGGCTCTGCAGGGTTAGCTTCTGGTCCCCAAGCAGGATAGATATACTCTTGTCAGGGAACACAATGAGGGTCCCATTGAACTACAAGCTATAGCTTCCATCTGGACATTTGTAACTCCTTGTGTCCAGGGACCAACAGGAAAGAAAGGAAGTCACCCTCTTAGTAGGTGTAAATTGGCCCTGATCAGCAGGA